ATCCATCCTGTACGTGCCGCTTATAATTCTTCAAATATTGCAGTAGAACATAAAGTCTTTAAAAAGTTTTGGTCGTGAATTATATTTTGGCTTTGAAGCGACCTATATTTAGTAGGTTGAGGTACACACAAATGAGCCAAATTTACCGTGATTAAATGCTCCTACTTCCATGTTATAATAAAAAGACGCCATTTACACTAAAGTGGTCAGTGTGAAATCAAATTAACGTTTGTTTTGAAACCGTAAAACAATTTTTTAGCATTTAGAATGAAACAAATTACAGCCTGTTATCTCACAATATTATGGAAGAAGTGAATTGGCGCCAATCGTCAACTTGCGAATAGAAAATAATAAATGCAACTGAGTGGGAAGTTGGATCCTCAACTGGATATTTTTAAGCCTGGTTAATGAAATATGTCAAAACATGAGCAATTGCTGCATTTTCGATCAAGAGAGTCATTTTGTGAGTTATTATGCATGGTCGAAAATCAGGTATGAATTGGTTGCAATAGTAAACAAGACCTAATGATTCAGTGCTAGCATATTTAGTAGTGCTTCAAGGATTTTCATTTAAGGGCAGGATTTAGATGAATTACCTGGCCATGTCCATGTGTTAGTAGAGCATTGATTCAGCAAACGTGCCTTTTTAAGTAACAAAACAACTCTGTTATTCAAGCATGGTGAAGAAAAATGAATTCAAAGAAAACTAGCTACCTATTACCTTCATAATTTTACACTAGTTCCAGGAATGTAAGCATTTAATAAAGTCATTAGCTTTAAGTGTTATTATTTAAAAGATGAATATTGTTATAGCGGCGTTGTAAAGCAAAATTTTCAAAGCAAATGTGTCACCGTTCTATTGATGTAAAGATGGACTACCGACTACTTTTATGCAAACAACATCAGTCATAAAGAGAAATGCAGCTCATAGACTATGAATAGGAATTTGATTTAAAATTGAATGCTTCTACGTAAAAATAGCTAATTAAGTTGTTGCATAGTTGCTTAGCATAGTCGAGACAAGCTTCGGTCGTTAAACCTTCTTATGATGTGCAACAGGCCTATTTTCAATGTATTTGATTGCCTGACCCGTCTGCGTCATTTTCCCGGTACCGATTCACAGAATATTATCTGCCCTGCGAGTGCTGACGTGTCGCGTCCATAGGGTTCGGAACTTCTTACAAATGTAGCGTCTTTGATCGGCCATTCTTGTGGCATAACACACAGACACAGACACCGCTTGGGATGTTGGAAGTGCACTTCCTGTTCCCACTGTTGCCTTTGAGTTGGTTCAACTGGACAATGGGTGTATCGTGCTGCTTATGTAAGTGATTCTGTTCCATAAATCGACCCTCTTCCTGACTGAAGCAGTGCTACTGATTACTGGCTCCCAAGCTGCCCATCAAAACAAATTTGATTGTTACACCACACTTATGTGTTCCTCAGTGGATTAGACTATCGGCGGTTGTATTACGCGTTCTTAATAAAATTTAATTAATGCGAGGGAATTGCATTTTCTGCTTTTTGAGTTGGAATTTAACACGTTTAAACAATTGCCCTCTATTAGCGCGATTAGTTAAACAATTCAATAACCAGGGTGTCAAAATTAGTTTCCTGTCTGACCTACAGACCGTAATTTTGAACCTACTGATCAATGCTTATGCAGTCACTACTGTGAGTGATGCCATTGTCTTCCTTTGGTATGGACTCGCCAAAACTCAGGCCTTGTTTACTGAGTTATTCTTTTATTTGATCTCATAACCACGGGTGGCTCATCGAGCATGCACAAATAAATGGTCTTAAATTCATTCAGGCTGCTATATTTGACTTTTTGGCTTCCTAACTATTTGACTGCATGATGTATTGCTAGCTTAATCTACAACCAAGGTCTTTTAGATGCGGCGCTTCGGATTTCCTAAACCTGTTGCCTGCTTCATCAGTGAAGGATAGTTTGTGATGGACTGTGATTCTTTACAAGAGATCATTTTCTTTGTCTTTTGAAATGGGCCCCTATCATTTCATACCTGAATATATAGATTTGAATAGGAATGGGGAGTAATTCTAGGTACTACAGTAAAAGTGTTGCCATACTACGTGTTGTAAGGGTCCTATATGATGTAATCCTGGGATATGTTATCTGTTTGTTCGACTATCTGAACCCTCCAATCACGTTAGAAGCAAAAATTAGGACAAAGCAGTTGATCAGTGTGA